TTAAAATGAGTTTCGCTCTGAGTTTCCAAACACATCCTGTATGTCAGAGAAAATAGCTAGAATTAGTACAAGGAGCCTTACAAATACTTTAAGTCTCAAGTGTCCAGCCTAAGGCTGAGAAGTGCAGTGTGGGCTGAATTTATTACTAGACATGTCTTTTCTCTGTAGGCATTGGCAGAGCAGGTTTACATGCCTCCCTGTCTTTGTTTATATTTAGCCCACAGGGGAGGAGATAAACGTCATTGATTAATCACATATAAAAAAAATAGAGGTGCTCTTGTTATGTTCCCACTTCAGTAAATGGAGATGAGAGAAGGAACGAAGAGACCTCCTGAGACCTATGGTGATTTTAACTGAGAGTCACCAGCTGAACAAAAGTGAGAGCTTAATGTGTAAGCAGTTGCACAAAATTTCAAGGCAACTCAAAAGCAATCACCAAGAGGTTAACTTTAAATTTGGAAGTCAAGTTCATTGAAACTATAAAACAGTCACTCTTAACCAGGAGAAATTTTGCCCCCAGAGGTACTTTTGGTAGCCAGAACTGGCAGGGATGAGGGTGGGGGTGGGATGGGGAGGGCTGCTACTGGCATCTTGTGGGTAGAGACCAAAGACGCTGCTAAACTGCTGAAAATGCACAGAAAGACCCCCACATTAAATAATTATCCAGCTCAAAATATTGAAAGTGCCACTGTTGTAAAACCCTGCTATGGCACCATGTGGTGTGGACATGGTGGGATGGTTATGGTGGTATTTGTGAAGAAAGAACTGTGTTTACTACCTACACACTGTAACTTTCTTTGGATTTATTGATATGAAAAGTTCAAAAAAAATGAGAAAGGTCACTCAAAATCAACTAGTAGACAGTTACGATCATATGTCCCACAGAGGATTTTTATTGGTAAGAGCCTAAGAATCAATTATGATCATGTGTTGCTTAAAGATGGGGATACACTCTGAGAAATGCGTCGTTAGGTGATTTTGTCATTGTGCAAACATCATAGAGTGTACTTACACAAATCTAGATGGTATAGCCTACTACACACCTAGGCTATATAATATTAATCTTATGGGACCACTGTCATATATGTGGTCCATCATTGACCAAAACGTTACGAGGTGCATGACTGTACTTAAATTATAATTGCTAAACATTACTATAGAGTTTCTAAAATTGTTGCTGTGGGTTAATTGTCTACTACCTCTGCATGCCCCTTTTCCCCAAACACCCACTTGCTAATGTCAGAGTAAAGATATTTGTTTGGGATATTTTCTTCCTTAAACTTCTTTTTGGCATGCCCCACAAACCTTTGTGAATCTTTTGATTTTTCTTTTTTAAATTGCACTAAAAGAAATGCTTATTTTTATGTTTCTGTTACTCAAAATTTACTGTGTCTTTTCTCTCTTTTGTTCCCTAATGTATGTCTTTTAATTTCTAATACCTTAGTGAAACTAGCTAAAATTCTATAAATATTTCATTCTCAAGAAGGTAAAAGGTCTATTAGGTAGTTTGTGTGAAAAAGAAGTTGCTTTGGTGGTTGCTAAGAGAAATCTAGAAAGAATTCATAATAAATGAATGTAGGAAGACTTGCGTTTATTCTTTTAAAATAAAAGTAAACATAGAGTGTAAAGTAGCATGGAAACGAGTGTTAGATGGAAAGGATTTGAGGTGAGCTGGGTTAACACTTCCTAATAGGAGAGAGACATAAGATGAACGAGAGTTGTAGTGTAATTAAACATGGAGTATATTTCTCATTCTCCTTCCTCCCACCAACTTAAAGTGAGAAGACTGAGAAAACAAATAACTAAGGCTCAGAAAACATGAGGTGACCCAACACAAGAGTAGTGGAAAAACTGAAAGAATCCAACCAGACACCCAACCCAGTCTGAGACTCATTTAACCCCTTGTGAATTTTGAGGCAAAATTAATATTAAGGGTAAATTACAAAATGTTCCAGTTGAGTTTGTGTTATATATACACAATGGAATACTACTTAGCCATAAGAAACGATGAAATCCAGCCATTTGTGACAACATGGATGGACATTGAGGGTATTATGCAAAGTGAAATAAGACAGAGGGAGAAGGTCAAATACCGTATGATTTCCTTCATTAAGTAGTAGATAATAACAACAATAAACAAACACATAGAGACAGAGATTGGATTGGTGGTTACCAGAGGGAAAGGGGGGAGGGAGGAGGGTGGTGATGGGTTGTAATTAGTATTTGGGTGGTGAACATGATGTAATCTATGCAGAAATAGAAGTATAATGATGTACACCTGAAATTTATACAATGTTATAAACCAATATTACTGCAATAAACAAAAAATTAAAAAAAACAAAGACTTACTGGAAGAATTAAGGGTTGGTTATAAAGAAAACTTGTAGTAAAAGTTTCTTTTTAAGCTATTTACATTAACTTGAAAGGTGATGCTTTCCTCCAAGCATTTTTTTGTCCCAGGAAAGCTTGCGGAAAAGAGGGCCTAAAATGAAGAAGAGGAGGATTAACTTTTATTGCATGGCCAAATATGTTCTCGGCAGGCACTACATATTTTTCCCAGTTATTTAACCAGTGTCTTTCAGCTCCAGACCCATTCTTCTGTGTTTTGGGATGCTGGAGACAGGACCACTCAGGAAGAGTTCCAGGATGGGGGAGAAGGAATCTGATTCTTCCTGTTTTCTCGCTCTTCCGGCAGCATGGCTTCAGCGACAATTTGTTCCAGTTTCCTTTTCTTTTCCTGCGCCTCCAAAATCACGTTATTGTGCCTCATCAGAGGCACCAGCAAGACCTGGGCAGTGCTCCCCTCAGAGGGCTGAGTCCCACTGTGTGTGGTGCCTCCTCTATGCTTCTAGATTCTGATAATCCACCCTTCTCTCTGATCCCCTGGCCCCAGAGGCGGCAGCCGTATCCTGCGGTTAGTGTTTCTGTGTTATTTCTGTCTCCTTTTCATTTTCCCAGTTCTCTAACACCATTTAAAACAATTCCTTACATTAAATTCTCTCTGTTAAAATGACTGATGTGTTTCTGTTTCTCTGACTAGCTTTTGACTGACACCAACCACTCTTTACATAAATTGTATCCATTTTATAAATGAGTTAACTAAAGCTCAAATGAGTTCAGTAACTTGCCCAATGTTTCTTAGCTAGCAGGAGGCACAGCTAGAATGTGAACTCAGACCCACAAGCCCCAATCTTTGCTAATATTCCAGGATATAGGAAGAAAACCATGAGAGATGTATGTTGCCAAATTTTAAGAATTTCAAAGAATAATTTAAGAATAAAGAATTTTAGAGACTAATTTAAGAATTTTAGAAAATAATTTGAAAATAAAGGTATAAGGATTCTGACTAATCAACTCTCTTTCTGTCTATATACGTGTGTGTATTCCTTTTTTTTGTTGTTGTTCCCTTCCAAATCTTCCCTACTACGACAGAAAAAGGATTATTTTTTTTACAAGGCATGAATCCATAAGGAGAAAAGATAATAACACAATGGAAATACTAAGAAAATTGTGGAAAGTAGAAAGCAGGTGAACAAGTGTGAATAGATTAAGCAGAAAAGGAAAAAAAATAAACCTAAGTCTGCAGTAGGGAAGCCTTAAGACAGACTAATTCATGCCTCAGAACACCGGAAAAGTTCAGAAATTGGAGACATCGGGTTTCTATGAAAGTGATTCTGAAACAGCAGGATTTGTTGAAATTCTTATAAGTAGCACTTTGATCTCCAGAGTCCCTTCCCCACAACTAACAGCCCAGTAGTTCCATCTCTCTACAACCCAATAGAAAGATTATGACTTACAAGGGCAGTCAGGGTTTGGTAAGGCTGCTATCACTGTGGGCCTGAAGGAGAGAAAGTGGTTTGGATGGAAATATGATGGAAAATTGAAACCTCCATGGGTAGGAGTGAGTGATGGGGAGGGACTTCAGGGGGGATAGCAAAGAGTTGATGGATCAAGATTTTGGGAGGGATGAGATTCAGAGAAAAGGGACTGGCTGGTCTTCTGTAGGGGAGATTTCTTTTCATATGCAAAGAAAGCAAAGATTGACGAAGGTGTTTCCAAAGATACTTTGGGAGATATTATTCCTGAGAACTTACATATTCTCTGTATGAGAGGACAAGGACGAGACAAAAGGTTTGGGAGGAGCAACATAAGTTTGATTCAGCTCTATTGGGAATCAAAATAGGAACACCCTTCCTCTTTCCCATTTTTCTACCATGTGTTACTGTTATCTTGAACAAGGAATGATACCTTAAATTCACGTAATACAGGTCACAAACTTGTGGTCCATGTGTCAAATTTAACCTGAAATTATGTGATTTTTTATTTAATTGGTTGCCAACATTTTGAAGTCCAGCAACTTTATTATTTAAAAGAAATAATCCCATCTGAGGGCTTCTTCTTGAAAGTCCGGATGATACCACAATACTGGATATACATTACTGAGTGTAGCTGAGTGGTGGGAACTTTCTTTAGATGGAGTAGGTATTCTATAGCCCCTGTCACTAATTTATGTTACCTCCCTGACCTGGCAGTCATTTGAGTTTGACATTCCTGATAAAGTACCTGTCTCTTGAGTATCGCCAAGTCGTCTCTGTGAAACTGAGGTGTAGTTATTATCTATATTTTTCAGAAAGGAGCATAAGGCATCAGAGGAACCCCATGCCATTACTCTTACCCATGGATTGAGAGCATCAGATGAAGTGAAGTGCCAGTTTAAAAGTGACTTCTGATTGGATGAATCCCTCTAGTAAGTGCTGCTATACCTTCCAGGACATCCAAATCCATAAACTCGTCTGACAAAGTAAAACCACTGTCCCTGAGGAGTCTCCTCTGTTATCTGTTAAAGATCAAGCCACTCTGAGATAACTGGTCTGTGAGGATTTGTTTATATACAGTAATTTATCAAATTCAACCTTCTGATATATGGCAAATATGACAAATCAATATGGTTTGAATTTGCAGAGATTGACCATGAAATACAAATCAAAGCAGGTGCCTTACTTCTTTTATTTGTATAATAGTTATTACAGGATTTTCAGTTGATGCTCATTCTGTTTTCAAGAAATAGTTCGTATATGTGACTCATTAATAATTTGCAATTCATTTCCATCTAACTGTCCGATAAATATCAGTATTCTGAGAATCATTGGCTACGTATGCTCTATCATCAAAATAAGAGTCAATTAGGAAAAACTCTAGCCGTATTCTTGCAACTGTGTAGAAAATCACTTCACTCAAATATGATTCAGAGCTAACTGTTAATTTAGGACTAAGATATGACTATTAAAGAGACTGCACCAGGATAACAACTCTTTTCCAAGAAATGGCCTCCAGTAAATTAGAAGAAATTTTTCCTAACTTGTAGCTATCTTGGTCTCCTTCATGCAATGAATTTCTGGCGTACGGGCTTCAATTTTGGGGGGGCATTTTCTTTTCTAATGAAATTTCTTCAGTCCTAGGAGGAAGCTCGTAGGGTTTGGTTTGCTTGTGTAGTTTCTCTTCTCTTCTCTTCATAATTTCTCTGAAGTGATTTTTTTCCTCTAACTCTTTATCTTCATGTTCTTTGGCCTCACATATTGCGTCTTCTTTCTCTCGGATCTTCAGCTCTTCCTGCCACTGTTACAGACAGAAAGTGTCATTTATGTATGATTTTCCATGAAAAAGTATATCAATTTGGCTTCTCAAAATACAGATTCTTATATTCAATTATCCTGTCAGTTTTTCTCACAGATATTCTTCAGGAATTTATACTCTATTATGCCAGAAAAATATATAAGCCATCTATTAGAAAACATGTGAGTCTCACAGAAAAACAGAGCTCTCTCTTAATATTTTTAATAATAATAAACCATTCAAAAGAAGAAATAATGGGATTTACATTTCTATATACCAAAGAAATTTCATTTCTTCATCAATATTGGTATTTACATGATAGCATGGAATCATAAAAGTAAAGCCAAAGTAAAACAAAAAGAAAAAAATTAAAGAGAAAGGCAAAAATTGTGATACTATTACATAGGAGGCTGACAATGAAACTAATGGGCAAACAAACGCTGATTTTACAGCAGACTGGTAAAAAATACTTCTAAGAGATTCATCTTAGTTGAGCAGTTAATTCATGACAGTAACAGCATTATCTGGAGGCAAGAGTCCCAGGAATAAGTAGTTGAAAGTAATGATGGAAAATCAACTGAACATCATTAAGAGGACCTTTTTTCCCCCTTCTAATGTCTTTATGAAAGAAATGGTAAAAGGAGGTGGTAATCCCTCTTCAAGCTAGGTAAAAATTCAGAGCAGAATGACCCCTAGCATGAAATGTTGGAAATTTCTAAAGATATTATCTGCATTGCTTGTTTTCTCACCCTCGGGCCATGCTTTCTCACAAATGACCAGACTATGCTTGACAACCTATCAATTAACTTATAAATTACTATATACCATTGCTGTGAATTATGACTGTTGTCATCTGGGATATACAGATATTAATAAGCAGAATTAAACCTCAGAATCCACCACACGTCACTCAGCCTTACAAAGGCAATAACATTTTTTAAAATGTCAACATACTCGGAGTAAATATTAAACAAAAGAAATAATAAAATCACATCCACTTTTTTATTCCCTGTTAAATTTTAAAGACATAAAAAGTACAAAAGTTATCTGCACTTATCTTGAGACTGGTTCTACACCTAGTTATTACTCATATAAGTTTCGTTTCTCAGAAACCATTTTTACATGAAATATTCAGAAAATTGAAGCAAAACGTCCAGAACATGGAGGCATAAGCTGAAATACATGCTTTGGTTTAGTCTACAAGTTCCATATGCGACATACACTCTTTTCTCATATAATAAACTAAATAATAATATTAATTGTTTGACAAAACTACCAATTTTATGTGATAGCATAAAAGTAGTAGTGGGTGTAGTAATGACAGTATCTATAAACAAAGACAACTAGTCTACCTTATGTATGAAATTTCAATGTACTTTATGACTTTGATCTTTACATTGTGAAAATTCAATAGAGGATTAATTCTTAAGAACTCTCAGGGCCAGCCCTGTGGCCTAGCGGTTAAGTTCCCATGCTCTGCTTCGGCAGCCCAGGGTTCACTGGTTCGGATCCTGGGCGCGGACCTACTCACACCCATCAAGCCACACTGAGGCAGCGTCCCACATATAGCAACTAGAAGGATGTACAACTATGACATGAAACTATCTACTGGGGCTTTAGGGAGAAAAAGAAAGGAAAAAAGGAGGAAGATTGGCAACAGATGTTAGCTCAGGGTCAATCTTCCTCCAAAAAAAAAGAAATATCCACTCTCATGAAACAATTAAAAAAAAAAAGAACTCTCAGTAAAATAGAATTCTTTTATTTCCCAAACAGATGCATAAAAGCAGCAATGGGGTATCATTTTGCTAACGTCCAGGAGGCAGCTTTTCCTCTTTTTCCCCCTTGTTAGAAGTTGGAATTCACCATAACCTTATGATCCTTCTTTTTGTCAGTCCCGGAAAAAGTAAACTTTTCTTTCTCATTTTTGTCTCTGTTGACTATGACAAATTCAATTTGGGTAAACCACTGTCTTGTCATTACTTTTATCTGCCATTATTATCATAACTGTGGCAGCTAGGGGGATATAGACCTCCTTGAAGTTGATAGAAAATAGAAGCACTATTTACTGCTTTATTCAACCCACCCATTCAGGGATTCAATCATCATGTCATGGAATACTAGCAGTACACAAGGTACCTTAATATCTGCTGAAAAATTAGGTATCTGCCCTATTCCTTGATTATTATGGCCACTCAATAAAGTTCAATTGACTTAGCAAGACCATTCAATCTGCAGCTGTGTGTTTTTATTTCTTGGCAATACTAAAGTTCCACCTTCCCAACCCCAGTTCAGGTTAGGGCTTATAAACCAAGAAATTGAGCAACCACGGAAAATTGAAAAGAAAAGTGGATTTGGAATCCAGAGATCTGGTTTTGTGCGTAAACTCAGTCATTTACCAACTTTAAAACCTTGGGCAAGTAACTGCATTTTAACCACCATTCTTCTTATTGGTAAATGTTTTACAGGGTTGTTGTGAGGATTAAATTAACTAATGTAAGAGCAAATATAATATAACCACAAAGCACTACTGCCATAGCTATCTGAAAGGAAATGGAATATATGTGAGTATTTTTAAAAATGTGATATTTGGAGAAACTTCCACGAACTTTGCCAAATCAATACTTTAAATTACTAACTATTTGATTAGGCTAGCCACATATCAAACAATTTGGATCCTATCAATTCTGAAACATATTTTCAGAGAGGATTTCTTTCCCCTTCTATAGCTGCACTATAAACAGAATCACGGCGGTGATTACTTAGATAATACTTATACTCTTGGAAACAGGAAAAGATGATGGTTTTTAGGAGCTATTTCCTAGCCTCCTCTCTATCATTCAAAATAATGCCATCTGTCTCCTCAACTAGCCCTAAGCAGATGTGTTTAATCCAAAAGTGATTAAAGTCTTATTAATCTTTCAAGAGTAAAGAATCATCACCAAAAATCGAGTCAAAACATTGATTTTTGTTCTGTTATTAAAACTACACTACATATATGTGTATATAGACATTGGCAATTTGCTATCTCTTGTAATATATTCTAGATCATTTAGTTGAAGTGAATAGTAAAATATAGATGCTGCAATTTATAAACCATTAGGAATTTTTGATAATCCCCTGTATATATGATATATTGGCTTTGCAAAAACTTTATTAGTGAATAAAAGAAAATACTACAGCTCCCATTTTGTGATTTCAGGATATCATTCCATTTCCAAACCCGAATACTTGTATCTATTGCTAGATTAGCTTAAATATTAGCTATGTGACAAATAACTATTCAATGGAATCAGTAAATGAAATAATCCCTTATTCTTTCTCAAAAGATCACTAAATAAATGGAACGTGAAAAAATTAATCGTGGAAATATAAACACAATGTGATAGATAATACTGAACAACTGGTGATAAAATGAATTCAAACACGTTCTATATGCTATTGAATCCATATTATAGTCAAAGAAAAAAAACAAGTACTTTCTCTCCTACTCCAACTCTACTCCTAAAAGGAAGCAGTCATAAAATGATTTGGTAAGAAATCATCGACTAAATATAGCTCAATGGATTAAAGTATCTTAAGTGAATGGCCTCATATTGCCACTGCTTGTTTAATTCACACCAAGAACAAAGTGATTAAGTCTTCCTAATATTTCAAGGGTAAAGAATGATCACCGAAAATTGAGTCAAAAGATTTTTGTTCCATTAGTGAAGCTACATTATAGAAAAACATCAGCGTTTGGTGTTCAATATTAGACTCTTGTCACAAGAAATCAGTACTAATTCAGGCAATAGGGTAAGGCTAGTATTTTACAAATGACAGAAAGCCAAATTTTCTGTAACTCAATGAAGGCACTGAGGTGTATAGATAGCACAGTGAGATGTATTTAAATTTGGTAATGCCCAATCATGGCTTTGCTTTTAAATTCCACATGTTAACATTTCAGTCTCAGAATTACACTTTCTAATTCAAAGTGCCTTTAAAGAACAAAGCTTTTCCTGCTAGTTTGAGAAAGTCAATCTTACGTGATGGTCAATGATTCTTGCCAACTCTTCATCTGCCCTGGTGAAGAAATCCGGATAAGGAAACAAGGGATGTTCTGATACAGAAGGACGTTCCCTTCAACAGAGCACGAGAACAGATCCAATATTAGTGCAGATATCCCTCCTCCCAGGAATATAGAGATTTTCGAGTCATAATTCACTATTAAGCATTTTGATTGTACATTGTTAACATAAAGTACTTACTCTGTGTAGACTACTATATATAGCTTTTAGTTTCTGTAAGTTTTGGGTTACTAAAACTAATGTTTCTGAGGGTAGGGCATGACATATAGAATGAGAACTAGAAAATAAGAAAAGGGCTATCTTCTCCTAGGAGATGTAAATACTACAGCTGATCGGTAACAAACGAGACGCTAGGATAAGAAGGGCTTAAAGAAGCCTGAGGTCAACTATGCCCAATGGGGAGACGAAAGTGCCCACAGCCATACACAATCCCATGACCTTGGAAGTTCTGGTGGAAGTCTAAGCCTAAGAATTTGATCTAAGATATACTAAAAAATGCTGTGACTTCAATATTTCTCCAAGCTCTTTGTATTACTAAAGGTGGGACTGTGTCAGACGGCTTAGCAACAGCTCTGTGAAAGTGTTGGCAGTGCAAAGCTAGACCTTAAACTAGTGGAGGTTTACTGTTAAACTGTCTACATAATAATTGTATTCTTAAAGTTATTGTGAAGAAATGATTGTGAGTCCAGAAATACATAAAGCAACAAAATGGTGGTAGAGTATATAGTTTTGAAAGAGAAAATGGGTTTAAAGGAAAAGCTCTCAGGCAAGAGCCTAAGGAGAGACATAGATGATGGAAAATTTCCATATTCAAAGAAGCCTAATCAATTTTTAAGACTATGTCTAACAAGCATGTTTTTCAAGTTGCTGCCTACACCATTTCAGTGAGCTCTATATTGGTGACATCCTACGCTTCCCTCGTATCACCAGGGCCTCTTGCTTTATGCTGCACTAAATGCTTCTTAAATCTTTCCATTTATCTTCATCGCCACCATCATTTCCCTAGTCTAAATCATCACTTCTCACCTGGATAAGGCCTCCTTTTTGGAATCCCTGCATCTACCATGCCTTACCCTTTTTATTCTTGGCTCTATAGAGTAGCCAAAATGTTTTTTCAAAATACAAAGTGGATAATGTCAAAACCCTACTTCAAACTGTTCAATAACTCCCCAGTAACTTTAGGATTAAGATCACAGTTGTTGTTAAGGACATCTGAAGTAGACTGTGCATTTGTTAAAGTGGCTTCGCATGGTTTCTCCAGACTTCTTTCTCTCCCTTCTTGGCCTGGGTCTATGCATTCCTAACACAGGGACTTTCTTGCACTTGCTGTAATGTACCCTGTTCCACTCTGCTACTGTCCATTTGCACATGCTGTCATTCCTTTCTCCGATGCCCTTCTCCTCCCCCTCTATCTCTGCTGTGGGATTGGTTAATGCCTACGTATCCTTCAGCTCTCAGTTCACGCCCACCACCACAGCTCTCAATCCACCACGGACCTCTCTTTCATCATACTTATCTCAGTTGTAGTTTTACATATATTTGTGTGCTTGTGTGAGTTTTTTGTTTTCCTAATTAGAATATGAGCTACCTGATTGTGGAGATGTTTATTTGTTTGCTTATCATTGGCTCCTTAGTGCCCAACACAGTGCCACTAGACACTCAATGAATGTTTGCATGTTTGGTGAATTGTTGAATGAATAAATGAAAGCTATGATATGCTTTAATCCCCTTTATATTCCAGGCCATCAGTAAGAGTCTACCACACAACACTCTTATGTCAGTGGAGCATTGTCTAGCACAGCAAGAGGATGGCAATCTCAGAAGACAAGTCACAGGGCAGAGCTGATAGCAGAAGTTCAAAGGAAAACAACTCGTCACCAGTGACTAGGAAAAATATTTGGATCCCTCTCCCAACCCATAAGATTCAGAAATATTGTGGGGCAGAAGAGTGATGAGCTTCCCACTGCGTGTGGAAGAGACTCTAGCTGTTATATTAAAATATTAAAGTAAAATATGATTCTAGAATGCTGGGGAATCTGGGGACATCTGGAGCTGACACTTGGATTAACCATATTCATTCAACAAAACTTAGGCACTTCTGATATTCAAAGAATTGTGTTAAATACTGTGAAAAAATAAATGACAGAATTTTTAAATCATTTAAATGTTAAAAGTATTCAAGCAAGTTGCCTCAGATTCCTTCTTGAATTATAAAAGTTTAAATTAAATGCATGACAACATAGAAAACCTTTAAAATTGGAAGATTAGATGAATATGCTTGTGCATCTGTGATTTCCAGTTATCTCAGTTGAATAGTTTGTACTAGAAAAGAAAAATGCGTAGATAACTATAGTATAAGACAACATGAAACATAAGAGAAGTAAAGACTCAATGATATAGAAAGAAAAATATATAAAATGGTTAAAGACATGGGCTCGGTACTCAGATCTCCAAGCAAATTTTAGTTCTACCACTCAGTATTATTTAATCTTGTTCTTCAGTTTCTTCATTTTTAATATAAAGAATAATAGTACCTGCCTTGTTATGTTTTTACAATGACTAAAAAGGGATAAGACATAAAGCATGTTTGATGGAGCAAATACTAAACAAGTTTTGGCTGTATTATCCTTATTATCATCATTATCAAAAGAATTCAGAAGAGAAAGCCATAGCTTTTAGCTGGTACTAAAAGAGAAGAAAAACAAATAAGAGGAAAAGGAATGCAGGACAAAACAATTAAGGTGAGGCTTAAATGAGACGTACAATTTTGCTGTTTGGAGTTTAAATGGGAAGTAGGGAGAAACTTTTCCAGAAAGATGGTGTACTACTATCCTAGGTCTGCCATAACAAATTACCACAAATTGGTAGACTTAAAAAACAGAAATCCATTCTCTCACAGTTCTAGAGGCCAAAAGTCCTAAACCAAGTTATTGGCAGGGTTGGTTCCTCTGGAGGCTCTTGGGAAGAATGCATTCCTTCTGGTAGCTGTAGGAAATTCTTAGCATTCCTTGGCTTATAGACACATCACTCCCATCTTTGTCTCTGTCTTCATAAGGTCTTCTCCTTTGGCATCTCTATATGTCTTTTCCTTTTCCGTCTCTTATAAGGACATGTCTTATAAGGACACAAGGACACTATCATTGGATTTAAGGCCCACATGATCAAGACGGCCTTAACTTTCCCCTCAGCTAGACTAAACTTTAGACAGGCTTCTTGACTCTAGGCCCCTGACCTCCCTTTTCTTAGAGCATTTATTTTAGGAAACTTGTAATTGTAAATTCTTTCTCTTCTCCCAGGCTCTTGCCAATTTTACAGCCCAGGAATGTCTTTCTCAAGGACTTGAAAGCCAGCCTTTTAAAATGTAATCATCAAGAAAGATAGTGCCCCTATCTTCCAGTCTTTCTGGGAACGTAGGAGTCAAACTTAGATAAGCAACAACTAGCAAACACAGATGACTTAATCACATTGACCAACCTCTCCTCTAACATCCTCCAGGACTTTTCCACCAGCTCACCTCAGCACTTAAATCCTTCTGTCTTTTATTTCAGGAGAGTTGAGTTCAATCTCTCTCCCCTGACACATATGGGGGGGTTAGAACTTGGACATACCTTTGGAGGACAAAATTCAACCCACTACAGATGACAAAGCAGGAACAGAGACTCAGATGAAAGAAACTAAGGACTCATTTGGGAAGAAGTACATAGACTGATGAGGATGGAACCTAAAATACACTTAAGGGACTAGTAAGTGACTATTCACTCACTCACTCATTTTTTCAACTATTTATTGCAAGAGGGACGTTATTATAAGGGGTGGGGAGAAAAAAGAGTTTTCTAACTTAGACACTGTGCTCTAGAAATTTGAAGTTTGCGTGGAAGAGAGACAAGTAAACGAACATCTACAATACACTGGAAACTGCTGTAAGATAGTAAAATAGGGTTCTGAAGAGTACAAAAGTGGGAGCTGGCGTCGTTTAACTTAGTCTGAAAGTGCGTAAGAGAAAATTTCCTTAATGGGTTATGTATGGTTGTCCCAAAAGAGTGATTATGGATTGAGGAAAAGACACATTTAGGATATGTTCAGTTTCTTTAATATATCAAGGATGAGAAATATACAGAGATATTTACAAAAAAGCTGAAAGACAAAAATAAAAAAACAAACAAAACACAAAAAACCCAAAGAGGGCTGACCTGGTGGTGTAGTGGTTAAGTTTGTGCACTCAGCTTTGGCAGCCCGGGGTTCACAGGTTTAGATCCTGGGTGCGGACCTATGTACTGCTTATCAAGCCATGCTGTGGCAGGCATCCCACATATAAAGTAGAGGAAGATGGGTATGGATGTTAGCCCAGGGTCAATCTTCCTCAGCAAAAAAGAGGACGATTGGCAATGGATGTTAGCTCAGGGCTAATATTCCTCACGAAAAATTAAAAAAGAAGAATTTTAGAAAAAAACAAGGGGGCCGGCCCTGTGGCCTAGTGGTTAAGTGCGTGCGCTCCGCTACTGGCGGCCTGGGTTCGGATCCCAGGCGCCCACCGACGCACTGCTTCTCCGGCCATGCTGAGGCCGTGTCCCACATACGGCAACTAGAAGGATGTGCAACTATGACATACAACTATCTACTGGGCTTTAGGGAAAAAAAAACAGGAGGATTAGCATGGATGTTAGCTCAGGGCTGATCTTCCTCACAAAAAAAAAAAAAAAAAAAACAAGGAATAACACAGTTCCTTATACAGAGTTATGATTTCTCAAGAACCCAAGCTCTTCTGAGGACATGTATGCAATAAGCATCGCATCAGGCAGGAGGTATTCCTCAGGAGCACGTGGCATGTCCATGTCTCAGGCATCTTTACTCTTGCATTTCACACTGTGACCTAAGATTCAGTGTTGAAGCACCAACTCAGCAGGTACAATATTGCTTTTATCTCACACAGACTAAAGTAAACTTTGAAATTACCCAATGAGGGGAAGATATCGTATCATTTAAACGAACCACAGAACTACATCTTTGTTAACAATTGTATGACTTGCCCCCATTATCCCACTTTTTTGTGTT